GTGTCTACCCGACATCAAAGTAATTGTTGCGTGAGTATCGCGTCGCATCGTTCTTGCGTGCAATTGTATGCCATGGTACAACTTTGTTGAGAGACTTTTCATCCAGCGCTTTCTGTTCTCATCCAGAATTCGACAGCGATTGCAGACAAGGTACGGTTGAACATTTCACACTGACGTTGCCCTCGGTGAGATAACCTTGTCGGCTTCGCAAATTGCTGAACAGCCGTTCAACTTTTGTAAGGTGCTTAAATAACACACTTTTCAAACCTCTTCCTTGGTCATGTGTGCAGACGTCTAGGGAAGCCATTACTTGAGAAAGTAATCATTTAAATCATCTTCTCTGCTGCCTTGTTCTGCCCGACCATTATTGTGTTGTCGGTAGGCTTGTGCAAAGCGTTGTGAAGTGCCGTCTACGACCAAGAATGTATTCAATCCTACCTTACTCGCGCTCAAAGGTGAGAAAGTCTATGGAATCACCCCCAACTCAAATGGTCGGAAATAACTGAACAGGCACCAACTGGCTGCCTTTCTCGATGTCTAGCTGCTTCTTCTGCTTGACGCACTTGCAACTGGGATGGCTGATTAGAAATATCAATTCACCTGCCACTTAGCCTAAGAATACTATCTAACCGCTCAAAGCGCTAACACCCTGTCGCGCCATGATGCCCCATATTGTCGTGCAACTCTTTCAAGACACCTAGACTTCATAGTCTCTGGCGAAACCAAATTGTTTCTTTGGTGGCGCGTGTTCGGTACAGTACCCCCATCATCTACGCTCTAACTTCCCCACTCTCTTAGTAGACGCCAGCGATGGGTCTACTCTCTTCTGCCTTTCCCTGCTGAGGATATATTTGTCCGTCCGAACCATCTGGGCAGACGTATCGCCTGATGGCTGATCCACTCCTGTTGGCCTTGTGTTGATGTCAATCTTCGTGTTAGAGTGTGCCACTCCACCTGTTACAGTCATGGTTTCCACCATCGCACTTGGTGCCACCATAACTGTCGATATGGCAGCGGACTGATGCGATCACCCCACTAACTTACTAGCCTGATCGTTCTGAGGAGAGACTGACTGGGTTGCCATCTGCGTCATGAATCCACCCATGTCCAACAGGGGGGCATCACGGACCAGCACATCGCATCAGTGTTTCCCTTTCCAGGGGCTGGTACTGATCTCAAATGGGTACAACTCGCCAACTCTGGCAACCCAGCGGCAACCCGTGCCATTAAGCTTTAGCAGGTACATCAGTATATACTCAGGGCTGGCTTGTCATGAAGACTGTGAAGTGACTTTGCATGAGCGCAAGGTAATTTCTAAAATGGATTCTCGTCACGGACCCATCAGCACGCAAGAACTCCAGTTTTCCCGAGTGTAGATGCGTATTCTTCTCTGGCTGGAGACCAAGACCCTCGAAGGCATACCAATCAGCCCAGCAGGCGACTCGCCCTGTGGTTGGTAGAGTACCGCTCCGAGTCCTTCGCCAAGATGCATCACTGTGGTAGATGAATGGCAATTACGAAGTCAGGGTAGGTCCCAATAACAGGTGCGAGGAGTTAAACTCGTCAAATGCAATTACTCACTACCCCGGTGGTGTCGTCATGCCACCACTGATGCTGGCATTTGATGGGTACGCTGACGCTGATCTTGGCTTTGTGACGGCTTTACGCGTTCATTGCTGAATGGGTCCTTAGATGAGACTTGGAAGGAAGCTCACAACAAAGTTTGCCCTCTAGAGTAGTCCCCTCGAAAGTGATACTCCTGTATAACCCCAAGCAGTCCAAGCGACCATTTCTCACGGCTCCCCAGACAGTGTGGGTTCTTTTCCTTCAACTCACCATGGCGGAGCCAATTTCCTTATCATAGGCCCTGTATCCCTCCGCAGACACAAATACGGACCCAAGTACTTTACTTCTGACTGCAATAGCCGACACTCGCTGGGTTCATCTATACCACCATTGCACTCGAAAAACGTTTAGTAATGCTTCTGAGGTGTGTCTACATGCTCCTGAATGTCTGACTGTATACCAGCAGCAGTCGTCACAGCGTAGACTTCACAGATTTTGTGTATCACCTCATTCAGGACTTCCTCCATGAATCTTGTAACAGGTGGTCCATTCGACAGCCAATATGGGATTCTCACCCATCGTGTAGGCCCAGGGGGTGATAAGGCCGGTGAGATGTTGACTACTGGTCTACAAAAGCCTTGGTGATACGCCTTTCCCATGATCGAGTCGGCTGAACAACCACCTATTACCTCACGAGTCTTCTAATGTATCTGCATCTCATTGGTAAGGTTGGCGGGTCTGGAATCGCTTCTGATGAGAGCCTGTAGTCGAAACATAGTCTCAGTTGTACCGTCCTATCTTCTGACGCAAACAACGGCGACGACGTACGCAGATATAGATTTCCGGTACCAACCCTATCTCAAGATTCTTGAGCAGTATCTTTTACACCTCCCTCATACAATGGGCCGGCCGTATCCGCGTATAATCTTCTGTAACAGGATGTCGCCTTCCACGTTAACTGTCAGACTTAGCCCCGACAAGAGTCCGTAGTCCGCCTCGTCCCGCAGAAGACACAACTCTCTTCCCTTAACCATCTGCTAGCATCCTCTTGCTGCTCCTCGTCTAGTGGCGCCAACCCGCACTAGGTCGATGGCGGGTCCCACTGCTCAGCTTATTTACAACTGATTCACCCACACCCCCGAGAAGGCCCGATCCGAATGTCTCACCCTTGTCAACCCACAATGGCTGACTCGTCCCTCAATCAGAGCCTCCATTGACGTTGAAACCCCATGGTTCTGGCAGGGCGTCCGTGGCAAACTACGGAATGGACCCTTACACAGGCATGAATGGCGCCATCAAACGATGCTTTGACTTTGATGTTTACACCCTCTTAAATGTATCCTTGGGCTAGAGGCAGACGGTTAATTCCAGTGGCGTGTCCAGACCTCCATCGATACTCCCGACAGTCAGGTTAGGAACTCCTCTCTAGCATTTCGGTGTGTATCATATACGGCTGGCTCCGGTGTCCCAAGACTAGGTAGCTGGCTTGCCTTCCAGGTAGGTAAACGACACACTTTCTTCCGACTAACTCTGGCCACCTTTCCAATTACCTACTCCCTGTCGCCGGATGGAAATTGCGGGTCTTACTAGGGTCCATCGCTGTCGCCAGAGGCAGATCGGCGGTGCCCGATGTGGTCCCGTCTGTAGCTGGCATTCCTTTAGCACAGTGGCCAGTACCTCGCCACATTGAAACAGTGATTGCACCTGCTGCTGCTTCTCCTGTCAACAGCTGGCAGCACCCGTCCTCCTCTACTTCAACATTATTTTGTCTTGTGTTTTCGACCTTTGATGTCTCGGCTGACTATGCGGGCTTCCAACTCTCCAACCTCCTGTCTCATCTCACTCACTCCCTTCTGAGCATCTCCTCTCACTTTCCCTCTTACCAGCCTATCGAAATTCTCGCTCGACTTATCGGAAGGATACTTTCGCGCTTTTGTAATTTTGGCCCACACCTCTTTTGTCAGCAGGCTCTTTTCTTCGCAACCTCCAGAATGTTAAAATCTGAGCACCCGGTCGTAAAACCCCTCATCTCACATCTGGAGGGATTCCTCTCTTTAGCCCAGTAACCAGCCGCATGTCTCAATGTCATACACTACTCCTTGTTGTAGCCAGCCTCCATTACCCTCTGCCGGATATCATCACCCTCCAGGATGAAGTCGATGGATAATTCGTTGGTCCCTGGACCGCTGAGCGACGAGGTAGCTCTGGTAGACGCTCCCGGCCGTCCTCCATATTGTAATGGTGCTAAAATTGCAATTACCTCATTTAGCCGGATGTCTCGCTCGCCCCCTCCAAATAGGCCTTGACTGGTAACTTTCGGCAGCTATGCCCTTCAAACGCCCTGGACTAATTCCTCTCCTTACCGAGCCTCTCTCTCGGCTCTGTCGAGCTGATGCTGTACTGACGCATATGGAGAGGTCTAAAGGGTCACCAAGCTCACCAATTTTCACCCGACAATGACAAAGCCTTTTGAGGTGGACCGACTCCGGAACCGCGGGCTGCACCTGCAGCTGTCTCTCCATCAGCTGCGTTAGCATTTTTGAATGTTCCAGCTGAGTCTCCACACACGTTACAGCGTCCATGTAGGTGCTACAGAGACGGGCGCCGGGACTGCCTGTTCCTGATCCGCCAACAGGCATCCCTGTTCGCGTTCGATCATGCTGTTTCTCTCATTCAGGGCCCCACGTTCGGCGCCAAATTACGCATAGTATATGTGATGTTATCAGCTATTAATCAGTATAAATACCAGACCTCGGTTCAGGCCCCTGTCTTGTGGTTGTGCGACCGAACGCTCACGAAAGTATTTCAAATAACAGCAACACTCCAAATGCAGTTAAAACTTATATATTCTTTCACAAACACACGTTGATTTGCAAAAACGACTTCCTCTCTCTCCCCCGCGTCACTTCTCTCCTCACAACACGCATGCCAGCGCCATCTATCGTCAAATAAAACTATAAACGGAACAACTCTACATAACAATATATACTAACCGCTACATAATTATCAAGAGTATATAATGGGAGTTCTCCCATATATACTCTTCGTTTCTATAATGTACGTCGATGGTTGCTCAATTAAAACTGACTTCTTCTCACTCACTCGTGTCCTTTTTTGTGGTGAGCTACAGTGTCATTGACACTTTCATTCTTAAATCACATTGACCATATGTTACCGTACATACTTCATTCAATGTTCCATTTGGGTTAAGCATGGGTTACTACATTTAGAATTAGTGAATTACTCAATCACAGGCAATGGCTAGGAGGCCAAATCATCTTCCTTATGGATAGAGGCAATGGGACAGTACTGTTGGGTTTAGTGAAATCTGGTTTTCTATGAGTTTCTCACATTTCTGGCTGGGTGAGTATGTTTGCTGCCTGCCATTTTCACTGGCAAAAAAGTTTATTTTTAACTGCAAAAATCGTTCCTACCTGATACTGGAGATTGTGTGTTGTGATTAGGCAGCATGCAACAGTCTCTCGAGTGGCAATGGAATGCAGATAGGCCCTGCTGTATTTCTGGCATGTTAAACATCTACAGCTTTCATCAATACGTCTGAAGTCCCTCTCAAAGACACTCTTTCGTAGGTCTAGTTTTCCTGTTGGTACCAGAGCTGTGCCAAATCTCTGCAATGTGTCAAGATCCTACTTGAAATGTTGCTTAAAGGAATACTTGACTTTAGGTTCTAGGGTTATTTTCAGTTGATTTAGGTTAAAATTACGCTTCATAAAAAGTTTTATGGTTCAATATTTATTAGAAATATTTAAAAACAAATGTTTTACAACTGACGGCTATATCGTTGCTTACAACGACGGTAGCGCCACGGGCAGCGCACCCACTAAAAAGTTGCGCAAAGCAACGTTTCGGCTGCAGGCTACAGACCGAGGGTGTTTCTTA